AAGTTTTTGTAATTACACTGGCAGCAAAAGTAAAGGTAAGGAGCATGTGGGCCCATTGCTTAAGGGGGCAGGAGACCTCATATCTAGGGAGATGAGAAAGAACAAGGTACTCAATGCTTTTTTTTCCTCAGTTTTCACTGCTAAGGCTTGTCCTTAGGTTCTCCTAGTCCCTCAAGCCTACTAGCACAGTCTGGGAGTGAAGCAGGACCCACAGTAGAGGAAGGAAGAGTTAGGGATCCCTTAACCCCATTCAGACATACACAAGAAATCAGAATCAGGCAGTACAGGACAATAGACAGCAGACACAAGACAGAACATGGGAAATTCCAATCAGATATCGGGGAAAAAAATCACCATGAGAGTGGTCAATACTGGAATATGTTGTGGAGAGAGGTTGTGATCTTCATATCTGGAGGTGTTAAAGACTCAAATAGAAAAGTCTTTCAGAAACCTGATATAATTAAGTGTGCTGTTAGCAGGGAGCTGGACTAGATGAGCCTTGGAGCTCATCTATGATTCTATGAACTCTAGCTTGTTTTACAGCCCCATATATTGAATACCTCTGTCTCCACATTCTTTACACACACCATGACAAAATGTAACTAGAACAGTGAGAATAGATGAGAGAGAATAAGGGCTGTAGAGAAGGTTCCCAAAAAATACACGTTAAAGCATCAAAATATATGTAACACCATGTGTGCACACTCACAAATCTTCTGAAGGACTTAAGCTTTTTACGCTGGCTTTATATAAGCCTGAGTGAAATCTGGTCCCTTAAACAGACCCAGCGAGATTGTCTGACCAGTGGAGTCACAAGGAGCTTCTAGTACCTATTTAGGCTTCTGTTAAAGTGTTGGGACTGAAATTTCTGGATGACTTGTACAAAACAGGATCACAATTTCCTCTGAAGATCAGGAAAAGTCAGGACTGTCTCTGTTTCACTGAATCTTCTAGCAGCTTTGGTCAGGAAGAACGATAGCCCATGCTCATTAGACGACCTATGGACTTGGTTTGTATACTTTCAAGTAAGCCAGGAAACAAACCAGCTCTACAGTTTCCAGATGAAGCTGTGGGCATTTATGTGATGAACTACATGTAATTGATAGTTACAGTCTTCATTAAAAGAGTAGTGGGCCTGGACATTCAAAACAAGCAGCGGTGGGGAGATCTTGAATTTTAATCATCTGGCATTACTTCTTCCTTCTTGTCGTCAAAATGCAGTCATGTACAAGTTAAACTGTAGACTCAGACTCATCTCACCTTTCATCCTTCCTTCCTTGCTCACTGCAATGTTGAGTTCACGTAGAGTTCTGCATCCCAACGAGCTAAATATTTCCATTAAAACCACCTCAGGTTCTGTTCAAGGGAATCTACAGAGATTAGGGTGAGGCTAACTTTACCATGTTACTGCATTTAGTATTTTAGCATTTTATCCTTTATCTATCAGATGGGAAGGAGGGAAAAGCAGATACTCCTTCAGTCTCAGAAACTTCTTCATATAGCTTTGTACTTTATTATCACATTGTGCGTTGGCAGTGGAGTAGTGCCGTCAGCTTTGACCCACCAGAGGCATACATCAGATTTCTTGGTGTCAGGCTTTTCAGGTTGCAGCATCTTCGTGTCAGTGATAACGCTGCCAACATTTGCAGAACATACAACAAAACAGATTTCAAGTGAGGGTTCTTGAGATGGTAGTTCAAGTAATTGCGTGTTAATTGCGCATTGCATTAGTGATCCTTAAGTATTTGGGAAGACTTACGGAAACTGTTGCATGCAAACAACTAAAATTTATAGCCTAGCTATGAATCAGTTTCCTACTTGCAACTTGGAGTACTGTATGATGTACATAAACATGCTATATATTTCTAGTGAAACATCAATACAATGTAGTGTTAGAGTATTTTTTCATAAATATGTTCCATAACAGAGACCAGTAATAAAACGAGGACTTTTTTTTCATGTTAATGAAACATTGCTGATAATGAAGTTTTAAATATATGCCAGAATTTACAGAAAAAGAGATGTAATCTAAGTAGTTCAGAGGATCTTTTATTGTCCAGTTAAGGATTTTCTAAGTGGAAAGTAAAATGCCTTTGGTTGTACTGTTTTGTTATTTCCAGATGTCTGACACACTGAACCCTGCACTGCCACGTCAGTAGTACTCAGGCTGTGGAAACCATGCTGTCATTTATTTCTATTACTGTAGCATCATAAACTAGGCCAAAAAAATTGAGTTCACCAAACTGAGAATTACAAGTTGAAGACATACTCTTGGAAAAAAGAAAACAAAAGAAAGAAATGCAGTTTCATAACATCAGAGATTACATGTCCTTTAAAGACAACTTCTCATAGTCTGGAGTATCATTCCTGGAATGAATTAAGTGTAGTTTAACCAAGCTACTTTTGATGTGGAACACTCCCAATCAGTTTGTCTTAATATGCTGCACCCTACATGTACCTTTTTATTTAGTTGAAACAAGACTCTTTGGGCAATAACTGGCTGTTTACCAGTTCTAAATATACGGTCACAAAAATCTCATATATGGTGGTTGGGAACCATTAGCCGTAAATATGAAACACAGGCCCCCTGGAATCACTTTAATGCCTTTGTAAATTTTCTGTGTTTAACTAAAACATTGTTTTTTTTCACAGCTGTTTTATTCTTAGAAAGGAAACGGAATGAACCTTTGAAGACAGTAGCCATCTATCACATAGAAAATGTTCCATTGTCATTGCTTGATTTCAGATTTGCACCAGGCAACCAACTAACCTCTAGCACTCTGCTTTTCTAACCAGACTATACCAATACTCACATTTTGGCACTCTCAAATGATGATAAAACTGTAAGATTCCAATGCTCAAAAGCTTTTCATAGAAATCTTATCCAGATCCTCTCAGCTGCTAGACTCCATGAAAGGAAATAAAATCATTAAAATATATTAATTATTTTCTAATTACTTGGTTTGGTGCTACAGAAGCACTAAGTGTGATAATATGGCAAATATAAGAGGAGAAATTCATAACAATCTCTCTTTTCATACATGGTTTCTAATCTGAAAAAGGAATAAAGCATTGTCCATCTTTTGCTTAAGAACATTATATTGGAAAATCATACCTGGATGATTTAAAGGAGTGAAAACGTGACTGGCATTTGCAATTTGGACTTCATTCTGCTTGCAATTTATATTGCAGAACCAGCTCTCACAGCACAACTACGACACAAGTCAAGCCTGAGGGAGGAAGGAACTCTAAGCCACAGAAAATAGTGTCTACTTGTGACCTTGCAAGTAGAGCAGTACCTCCTTGTATTAAAGCATATGCATTGAGTTCAAAGCAGTCTCTGCAAATATTCTTGAACATCTTTTTATCTTCCAAGGAACAGTGAATATTTCCATGTCCCCCCAGTACTGATATTGAGAATTCAATTCATTTTTTGTACAGGTTTACAATTTCACTTAAGATCCGATGTCTATTTGAAAGAATGATCATTCAAAGCTTTAGTTATCTTTTCAGGCCCATCTCCTCTATGATTTGTTACTACCAGCTCATCTAAAGAATGCTGACAAAGGAGAAATTAAACCTGGTAATTAGATGTGGTAATATTTGCCAGTACAGATCTACAATCTTAATTTTCACTGACATTTTTAAGCAGGGATTCTAATAAAGCCAAAAGGAGCCTCAGGGTGTCAGTAGACTCTAGCTCTCCACGCAGGATCCAGATTCCCTACTTAGATTCTTCCTTTCTGCTCACAGGCTTGGGCCTGGCTGCCAGAGCAGAGGTCCCACCGTCAAAGTTTGAGGCTTTCATCAAAGCCATTAAATTTCTGTAAAATGTAGCCTCTGGCATTCTCTGGTAGGATTGCTATACTGCAGCCTGGGGACTCTTTCCGACATAACAGCCCTAATGCAGTGACAACATCCAGGCTGGCAGCCAGAATTAATACTCTGTAACAGTGACGTACTGCTGTAATGCTTGCTAATCTCAGTGCAGAATCTCTCCCATTTTCATATCTACCTTTATAAGTCTGCTGGGTCCATGTTGCTGTTAGAAAGGGATTGTGTGCCTAATAAGCCTGGGGTGAGAGGGGAGGCTAAAGAGGGTGTTCATACAATCACTCCACCTCCAATTCCAAAGACTACAGGGTCTGACAACAAAATCCCCCTGTGCACAGAGAATTCAGTCTCCCCAAAGAGTGTGAGATACCACCTCTCTTACAATCCCTGTGCAGGGCCTGTGAGAGCTCTCGAGCAGAGAGAAACCTGCTTTCAACAACTTTTCATCTCCAGTTGCTAAGCTCTAGACAGACAGAAGAAAAGAGGAATTTTTTCTCTCTCTTGACTGTGCAACAGTATATACACCCTAGCACAATCTTCATTTCCTCCAATAGCCACGTATATCTTTAGAAATAACTTCTAAAACATGGTTCTGAATTGATAATGGTTTCTGCTTACTGTATTAACATTTGGTCAAAGTGCAAGACAGCCAAGAAGAAACCCATAGACTTTGTAACTGATTTAATTCCACATGTTACTACAGAGCTGATCTACTGAAACTGAAGCAGACATGAGAAATACCATGCACAGTTGCTACAGAATAGATGCCAGGCTCCACAAACACTGCTGTACTGACAATATTCACATTTTTATTGATATTATGCTATTTTTACTGACTAAATTCAAACAACTCACACAATTTAAAATGTACTTATGCGACTCCAATTGGTTTTGTTCATTACCACATGGTTGTTCACAAAGTGAATGGCAATAAGAATGAAAAACATAAGATCAGATGCATATATCCAAAAACTAGAACTCCAAAGGTTATATGGAATATTATACATTTTCCTTGGAAAAAAAGTGTTCATTTGTAATGAACTGTGAAATAGATAACAGTACAGTAAAAATCTGGTTATGAAACACATTGACTATGAAAATCAAATACAAAAGTTGCATGTCAGTATCTACCTTACTTGTATAAAAATCAGGCTCTGAGAGTATACAGAACCTTACAGATGTGTTGAAATAAGTCAGTGTTACCTTGCCTGATAAGGAATGTAGAAAGAAGAGTTGATTCTGGAAAATTAAACTAAGGTGAAGAAAAGGTATTTTTCCAAAATATAATGATGGAAATGGCAGGTATATTGCTTTTTCAAAGAAAATTTGCTGAAATATCTTGGCAATTCAGATATGCAGAGAGCACGGAAAAAAACCCACATTCAATAGTCAGCATTACGCTCCTAAGAGCCAACTGGCTCTAAGGTTGCATAAAAGGCAGCTGAATAAAAGCTGACAAATACTAAGCTTTACGTGTTTACTGAAAACCTTATTCTTCTTAGGACCTTCTTACTAAAGCAGGAAAACTACAAATGCTGACATTTTATAATAAAAGTTACTAAGTGTATTATGGAAATATCTAATAAAGTTTTAAGACTGAATCGTTCAAGTGAAAATGAAAGGTGTTTATGATACAGTGATACATTATACCATATAATAGCAAGAACAGTATCTTTCCATTTTCATAGGCTAATGGAAATACCCATTATAGGTTCTTCGGATTTTCATTGAAACTGATTTAATTTTGACTGGTTTATTGTTCATTGTCCATGTATCCCAGTGAATCCCAGTTGCAAGAAATCTGCCTGTGTAGTGATGAACACCATTAAGATTTGCAAGGCCACACTGGTTGAACCACCATCCAGTGTTATCACTGAAGTTACTGCAGCTCTTTACAGGCTGCTCTTTAATAGTGCACATTGGTCTACATCCATCATTGTCAACATCAAATGTGCTGAAAGGCATTGAATTCTGGTTATCTTCTTTTCTGTATCCTCTAAATGCATCACCTAAGTACAACAGATAAAACAGAAGGATAAAAGAGTTATTTATGGAGAAACATAACATTTTTACTTGTTGCATACCTCACAAATTTTTCCTCTGAATTTATTAGAAAAATAGATTTCTTCAAAAGCGGTTCAAGAGAACCAAATATTGAGCTCAGAATGTGTTAAAGATGTAGGAAAGAAAAAGTATAAAATACTGAGAAGTATGGAAGTAGTTGAAATTCGATGAAACATCTTTATATTGTTGTTGATGCACATCAGCTATGAAAGTAAAGGCTTCTGTCCTCAAAAGTGGTGGAAGAAAGGACAAAAGAAATAAAAAGGATTGTTAACTTCAAATTTTCCACTGATGTACCCAAAACCCCATTTATCTGCATAAGTGTTCATTATGCACCAGAGAAAAACAGATTAGAAATAAACATTTTTAAAGTTGTCTTAATTAAGGATTACTCTTTTGAATGCATTTTCCCTGTCCTATTAAGAAAGGGAACAGGTGTCTTTAAATATTTTAGAGAAGGAGGTTCTTACCAGCATTTCCTGAATAACGCCCTAAATGGATCTTAAAAGAACATGTTTCATCCTCTATCCAAAATCCATCATATGATGCATAGGCATGCTTGTCATTTTCTGATTCCAAGTCCACATAAAGACTGAAACTAGTGGCTTTTTGATTTACTATGTGAAAAATCTTCCTCAGTCCAAGCCAAAATTCCCCTAAAACAGAAATATATAATCAATAAACTAGAAACAGAAAGTGTAAAATAAAAAATGGATTCCTCTAGGTTTTGTACTTTCCTTCCTGAGCCAACTGTAATAGAAGTTGGCTGATGTCTTCAAAAGGCTAATGAAGGTACAGTGTTATCTTCCTACTTCATTGGGAAATCCATGTGTGCATCATCTTCTTCTCTGTGACATTTTTTAGAAAATTGTCTACATAACTTTTGAGTGTTCATCGTCAGTATAGCTTAGAAGACCACAAAAACTGGATGTGCTAAAGAGCCACTTGATTTTACAGAATTCAGTAGCATTCCTAAGGCCAATACTGAGAAATTATAAATGTTAGCATTCTATGAAAGTCAACAAAACTCAGCCCCTATTCTCAAGATTTGATGCCTCTGTAAATCACACTTTTTTCCATGAAGGTTGACTCATATGAGCTGCACTTTTTTTGTAGAGTTTAAAAGTTGTGTGCTTTCATTGCAATCCCAGATACACCCCTGAAAAAGAAACTGGTTTCAGACTTGCTGGATGAAAGGTGGCAGTAAAAAAGTAGTATCACAGTTGTGTTGGTATTAGTTACTGAAATATTTCCATTCTGTTTCTAACCTCGCATGCCCTATGGTGAAATATTACTGATTTTGTCTGCTTTAAGGAAATATTTTGCAAATGTGATTAAAACCAACTAAGGTGCTTTTTGAAATCTGAAATACAATTTATACATTATTTCAGGAAGAAAATATCACAACATTTTAAACACCTTTTTTGGCACTGAGGATGGGCAATGGCTAAAGACTCTAGTAGGGTAATAGTCATTATTGAGAAGATCACACAATAGATTTGATGAAAAAAACCTCATAAGTATAAATAAGACTTTCAAGAAACAAGATCTTTACTCTTAATACTACTAAAAATCCCACACAATTTCTTGGAATATAGCTCACATAAAGACAGCAGAAACCCTGCTTCCAAAGCGCTTTAGAGTATTTTAAATTAATACCAGAAAGGACACCAAATCCATCCAGATACTCAGACCATGTTCTCTGAAATGGAATGAGTCCGTCAGTTCTTTTCTGAACCACAGTCCATCCGCCTCCTTGAAAATCCATGTCACACAAAACCTAAAACAGACATAGATATGATTAAGCATTCTTGAAGAAGCTGTTATGATGAAAACATTTTAATTAAATAAATGTGAACTATTCAGAGTTTTGCTAAGCAACTTGCTTTTCAAATATGTTAAGAAAAAGCTCAAAGAAAATAAAATGTTAAGGTGCATTTTCCTAAATGTTCTTGTTGGACTGCTTGATTTGGTTATTTCCTCAAACAGTAGAAACTGTTGTGTGCAAATATCTGCTCATATCACATATAATAAATGTTTGACATATGTTACATGTATTGCATGCAACATGCAATGTCATGTATTAAGCATGCAAAATATTAGAGATACAGGCCCTAACACTGAATATACCTTTATTTCAGCAAAGCAAAATAGTCACAACTTCTTATGTGTTCTCCCTCACCATCTTACCTTCTTCCTTAGAAATAATGTTTGTGATGCCTGGGAAGTGTAGAGCCCTTAATAACAGTAAGGAAGTGGAAAAAGTTATAGCAATAACCCAGTATATATTGGGTTGGCTAAAAAGTCATTGTGGGGGTTTTTTCAATAGAAGGATATACATGTCTTGCAACATAACAGACTTCATTTTAAACTGCAAATTCATTAGAGTTTAACAGAGTTTTTGTTTCCCATTAAAAATTTGCCTTTCATTTAATCAGAAAAAAATGCAATTACTTTTTGGTCAACCCAATACTTGTGATAACAATAGTAAGTTCAGAATATAATGTTGCCTATCAGTAAACAATAACAGTAAGCAGATGCACAAATGATGGAGTAAAGTAGGAACTGTTTATTCATGTTACAGGGAATGTACACAATAGGACATGTTTCAGAAATAATATAGATTTGCGATCTTAGCCAGTTGCTTAAAGTAAAGTCCAAGTGGAAGTCAGTTTAACCCTTGAAAAAATTGTGGCAGTCAGTTTATATGTTGCGCTCCAATTGCCTGTACCAGACAGATATTTTTCTTAAAGCCAGAAAATTGTTCCTTGGCAGGAACACATCAACATCATAATCAGAACCTCTGTGACTTAGCAACTTCTTTAAGAGTGACAGGAAAGCAACAGGACAGAGCTGCAATGTGATTTAATACAATCTGGGGAATCTTGGATCTTAAGTCAGTGCCATTGGATGCTCTGAACAATCCTTGCAACACAAATACTGAATTAATCATAGTAAGGGTCATGTGCATGAAACAAAATTATGGGCTTTATTCCCTGGAGAATCACATGCTTATTTCAGTCACCCAAGAAGGGTGGAATTGAAATAAAAAGTAATACAAAAGGTACCAAAATGAATATTTAGATGCAAATACCTAAAAGTCATTAAAAAGAAGCCCATTGCCTCATCCGCTTTCTTGAGAAAATGATTGTGTGCTTGGCTACTCCTCTCACTATGAGTCAGAAATACAAAGAGGAGCCCATTTGGTCACAACAGCAATCTTGAGTCCAATATAAATCAGTGGGAGTGTTGATAATTTTCAGAAGGGGCAGATTTGGTTCTACATGAAAGGTCATCAGCCAGGTAGATACAGCACCAAAATATACACCAGCTAAGTGAAAATATGAACTAGATACACAAAAAGTCATCGCTATGTTGTTTCTTAGTCCCTTATGTGCTGGAAATGATGCCATTTTCTTTCCTAAAGCCCCATAATAGTTAATCCACTTTACAGCTTGTTCTGTGTCTCATATCATGCAAGGTTAAGAGGGGCATGACTGTGCGAGGTATAATTTAAATTTAATGAGCAGGAGGATGCTTCTACTGAATATTTCTTCCCTTTCCATCTTCAGTGTGTATAAGAAGTATATTCCAAAAAAATGTTTATTTTGTCTGACCCACCTCAGAAATATCATTGATCTAAATTTATTCATTGAAAAATGTATCAGAAAGTGATCACAATTCAATTTTCCAGAAGTGAAAATTTGGGACTAATTTTCTGAGATGACAAGAACCTGCCACTACCATTGAAACTGAATATTCTTAGAGCTCCTGGAATTCAGGTTTCCATTAGTGCAAGTTAAGCATGAAAATCTATACTCATTTTTGAAAACATGAGGTTTCAGACATGAAAACATGAGAACAGGAGTTCTTCATTTATCTGGTATCTTTATGCAAATTATTCTAAAGACATTCTGGATTAGTTTATTACATTTAAAGGACAGCTTATTGATGAAAAGGTCCTCATTGAAATAATTTTTTTCATGCTGGCTTTGTTTTCTTCTTTTTTTTTTTAGTTTCTTATTATGTCGTTCTGCTTCTTTGTCTTTTTGTTATTTTGCTAGTCTGCAGAACTTCCAGAACTCTTGGTGATTACCCCCTAAAAATGAATTACAATTTCTTGTTTATGTTTTAATGTCTTGATATTTTTCTTCATCTGTCATTTCTCTTGTACCCTTTTTATGCTTCAGCACATGGAAGAATTTGCATTAAACAGATTTCCTTAAAATAACATTCTTTATGGAACACACATATTTTAGATACTTTACTCTGAGAACTTTTTGGCACTATCTTTTCAGTTCTGTGTAACATCTACCAGACAAGAAATGAGATACTCATTTCTGAGGTCAGATGTTTCTTCTTATAATTTATCGTTACCTTGTGCTTTTAATCAAATTATTATGATTTTTCCTTTTTGTTTCTTATTCTCCTTAAGGAACCTTTTCACTCATATTACTGATTCTCAGATTCTGGGAGTAACTTTAATTATGGAAAATGTCAAAAATACTTTTGAAGTGAAAGGAACTTTATAATTTCAGATTTATTTGCCAAAAGCTATAAGTGAACTGAGAAATCACTTTTCTCACATACATTAGTCATACCATCTCTCAGGAAAAGTATTTTGGGTGAGGTGTGAATATTTCCTCAATGGAATCCCCTTCAATCCAGAAGAAATTCTGAAACAGATGCATTTTGTGCTATGGTTCATCCTGGGGAGAGGTAGGCAGCATTTTCTTCATACTATAAATACAGTCATTCTGTGAACACTTCTACCTGTCTTTACCTTTCTTTTACCTGGAAGGAACTTGCCAATGATCTGTTCCCTGAGATGTCTGCATTGTATAGAGATAATGACAGGTTTTTCTATGAGAAGTCTGCAGAACCAAGTTATTTTTTTTTCATTTGAGATCCCAGCATACTTCTGAAGCCTTTTCATAACCAGTTTAAGCTTTATTTTTTGTAGCATGTTGTAGGGTTCCAATTGGCTAGCGATAAAGGGATTCATCCTTCCTTTGTTATATATAAAAGAAGACTATAAAGTTGGATATTAAATTTTGCTATTTATTAGCTGGCTTAAACTCCACATTTTTTCTCCAAAAACTAATGACCCCCGCATGTACTGCAAAATTAAATGTCTGAAAGTGCTGTATCTGTCCTTCTACTATGCATAAGGACTTCCCTAAGTAGAACAGCTTGAAATGGAAATAAACAGAAGAAACAAAATGGTCATTGTGTTTGCATGGATCTGAATGCTCTTAGCCTGAGGAAATTAACCCATAACTCTCTTCTAGATAAGCACTGTAACTCCAAGCAATCACAGAAAATGCAGGTGGTGACAGGAAGCATGACTGCTGCTGATCATGCTGAATTTCATCCTCTTTTCCTGAATGTATATCCTGCAAACTGGATATGAAGGCTAAAAGTTTAGATGCCTCTCTGACTCAGACTGAGTTATAATCATGCTCAGACAAGAGCTAACCACCTACTCCTCAAACTAATGTACATCTGCACCTATATTTAGATGCCTATACAATATCATGCTCCAAGCTATAGGCATCAGCAGAGTCACATCTCAAAAGAAGGCTACTACGTACAGTCATCCAGCAGAATAATTCAAAAAGCCAAAGGTCACATTTTAGGAGTCAAATGGTTCAGTCACTTGGCTCCTCAGTTTTCCATCTCTAAAATAGAAAATAACAGCACTTCTCAATGTCCAAAAGGGGTGCTGGAAAATATCTTGGGTTTTCCTTTTTGGTACATTTGTCATGTATATGCACACTGATGATGAGATCTTATGACAGAGATTAAATTTCTTTGTAGAAAATGAGAAACATGACAAAATTATAGTAGTGGAAGACACATTTGGATGATTTAATACATTTTGTATTCATCTGTTGAGAAATTGTCAAGAAAAACATTTAAAATCTATTAAATATATTCTAAGTGCATATGCTCAAGCAAATTGTTACTATCCTGAGAGATAAATTTATTACCTCAAAAGGATAATTTGATCCGTCTGGATGGATAATGTACAGACCAGTTGGAGTTTTTGAAACTGAACCAACAGTATCTTTAATATGAGTGCAATCCAATCCTAGAGAACAAAGTAATTGATGAAGTTGAATAGCAAAATGAGTGTAAAAAAAATACAGCTTAAGCACAGAATATTATTTTTATTGGTAATGTATGAATGATCTCAAATAGCATTTTTCTTGTCATGCAAATGTTAAAACCATGTTTTGTCATGAATTTACCTTATAAATGAAAATTTTCTTAACTCCCTTAAGCTCAGAAAGAAGGTTCTTTCTAATCTTAACTGGCATGATACAAAAATTAAAAATTACATATCTGAGTCTTATTTTATAGATTTTATTCAGGTAACACTTGTACTGAGTAAAAAGCCATATTATCTGGGGGAGGTCTTTTTCCTGCAAATATTTGTATTTATACTTGTAAAAGCATTTATATCATAATGTATACATTAAAAACCCTTTGCTTGTAAGAGTTAAGCTAGGTTTGCATTAAACACACTCAAACAAGGAGTTTCTACAGCCAGTCTGACTGCTTAGAGGTAGTTTCCTTTCATTGGGATAGACATTACAAAGAAGATTAACTGTCCAGTGTTCAAATAACTTCCATCTCATTTGAAGAGGTACTTTGCAAATGCTGAGTACACTTTATTTCATTAAAAAAGAAAGTGCCATTTAGCAACCTCAGACCGCTTGTGAACAGCATGTCCAGAATTATTGGTTGCAAGTGGTTTAAAGCCATCTTTATGATGACATTCAGTTCCTAAATTTTCCAGACTTTCTATGTGCATACAAACACAGAATAAATACTGTAAATATTATGATTGCTTACCTTTGCGTTAATTAGTTTTATGTCAGGATACAATGATAAAAGGGAAGAGGTCAAGACTAAATGTGAAAAATACTTACCATGAGATTGAACTGCTTTGTAAGGAAGTGGATCCAAATGCTTTCTCAAAACTTCTGCGTTCAAAAGAAGAAGTTGGTTCATGAGTTCACTTACCTGCAAATTCAAATAAAAGTTCTTTAAATAGGTTGCAATGAGGAATTTTACATTCTAAAGTTGTTCTTTTTTACTCCTAGTGGATATAATCTGAAGTTAACTTTTGTGGTGTTAGCAATTCATATATTCATTATGTAAAATTGTCCAATTTTTACTTTTTGCAACCAAAATATTTTTTTAGGCACAATTCCATTTAATTCAAGAAACTTACTTCATTCTGAATACAGGCTTTTTATCTGTACTGAGTGCACAGCCTTTACTGTAAACTACTGTCAGAGTTAATGATAATATAATATGTAAATACACAAGTGTGACAAGACTGCAGATAGGAAAAGATGTGGAGGAGTGGTCCATCACTTGCCCTACTGCCATGGATGACAGTACGTTACAGACCAGGTGGTGTTAATCACTCCTTCTAGAAATGGAACTGACATCTTACCCGAGGTACCAGGAATGTTCATGGAGACTGTAACTCTATGATTTTAATGAAAATATAAATGCTTAATCTTTGTCAGTTAGACAATACCCTTAGTGCTAAATAATAAAACAAAAAATAAAAAAATAAACATCTGTATGCTTAAGAAAAAGGTACCTGATTAGAAAGGTAATCCAAAGAAGACTGTTGATCATCCATCATGTTTCTTACCATTTTTTTTGTACTTCTTGCATATTCAACAAGAGAGTTCTGCAAATTTCCTTTAAAAGAAATGTGTTCATGCACTTTGTTATCATAAATCTACATATATTCTGGAGTGAATATTGACACATTTATTTATGATATCTCGGTCAATTTTGAAGGTGTTTAACTTTAGGGTACCTAAAAATGATCTGAAAGTATTTCAGAGACTACAGATTAAATTCAGAGATGCTAAGAACCTCAGTTTCACTGGTTGCAGTGAAGACATCTTAAGAAGAGATGGCTCTTCTTAAGATTTGAAGAATTTCTTCTTATCCTTGAGCAGTTTGGGTAACCAGTCAATGGCTACCACAGGAATACAAATACAAATTATAAAAGACAAATACATAGTGTTTCCTGTCATCCTACATTTACTCACGCACTCTGCTACTTTCTTATGCTCCTGTTTTTGCCTAAATATAGGCAAAAATGCCAAAAATACAAAATTAAGCTTGTCAGGTAATTAATAATACGTATTAAAAATCATATGGGAAAGACAAGAATTTTAACAATTTTTCCTGAGGCTGACTACATCATTTGCTGTGCAGTTTGTCAAGGCAGTGAATGGAGAATGTCCTGTATAGGTATCTATAAAACGCAAGCTGAAGTATAGATTTAACTAACTAACTCCCACACCCCTAAGTATGATGTTTAAATGAAGGACAGACACTCTACTCTTCCTCTCCAATGGAGAGAGCTACCGACATTCAGAGGGTCACACAGACTTAGGTGGGCTGAGGTCCTGCCTGGATTTGCCTGTCCTCACCAATGATTATGAAGAGAGCTTTGCATGATTAGACACTAACTTTGTCACAGCAGCTGCACCCCAAAAATAGGGCACCCCAAATTTTCTGAACAATACTCAGCTTGGGCAGCAGGGTCAAAGGCTTTCACATGTGCTCAAGAAGAATAACAAAAAAAATTAGCGCAGCATAGCGTAGCATAGCAGAGGATTGCATAGCACGGCATTGCAGAGCTTGTCGCTAAGATTATTCTTCATGAATACATACTGCACATGTAATGCTTTTCCCCTCGTAACATTTTAGCTTGAACATCACAGGGTACAAGGCATTGTTCTTTTTGTTTTGAAATATCTGCAGGTTTATTTTTCTCTTCTGCTTTGAGTGGTTCCTCCACAGCTCCAACATTCCTTGTGCCCTGTTGTACCAAACAACGGAGGGGGAAATAAATTGATCATAAAGCATATATAAAATAGCTCAGTCTGCCAAAATGAAGTAGGTTACTCTGTGGATCTTGCTTGAAAACCTGTTTTTTTAAAGCTTTATCAACTGATAAAGTTTTTTGTCAACTGACACAGCTGAGACCAAGGCCTGACAAGTGTCTTCTGCTTAGCCATACCTCACAAAAGAAAGAGAATGTCATAGGCAAAGAATAACCTCTACAAATTTAAAAAATACCACCAGCCTTTCTGGTAAAGTATTCTATCTGTGAGCACTGTGAACTGGAGGCAAGAGCATGCAAATCTTGCACTTAAGTAGCTCACATTTAAGAAGCTCACAAGCCACACCCAGCAGACGGCTCAAATGCTTACGAAGTTATTTTCTCTGGAAAGGAACTTTTAGACTTACCACATATTAGCAAAACCTTTTCACTCATTAAAGTCTCTAAATTAATTACTTAGACTCTTATCTTGGAAACGCTTGCACAAGTTATTGATCTATGCACAGAAGCAGTCCCAAGCAGATGTGCAGACAAATTCAACATTAAAAATGTATTTTAAATGCTCTTATAGAGGAAAAAATAATGGGGTACTATTTACAGGCATACAGTTATCTGAAAGAGTAACAGTAAAAGCATTGGAAAAAGTAGTTACACCTATTAACGTTCTTTTAAAATAATATTTTTGTATTTAATATTTTTTCTTCCATGGTGCTGTTTGACATAAAACAAGGGAATGTCTCCGACTCATCACTTAAAGGAATGCTAGAACTAATTCCTGAAATATGTGTCATTGTAAAAAGACTAAGAAACATGTTTTCATTTCAGTATTTGTTTTTTAATTCCATAATCTCAGTAAAGCATTGTAGTATGTTCACAAGCTGTATTTTCAAATGTAAATAGGACCTTTAGAAACTTTACAATTTTAATGAAAAAGAAAACTTATTTAGACTTGAATATATCTTAACATAACTGCATCTATGACATAATTGTTCTCCTTTCCTGCTTCACCTTTCCCTTTCTGGTATTGGCACTACACTGGCAAAGCAGTGAACAGGTTTTTTTCCTGATTTTTGGTTTTAAAAAGTGAAATTAAAAATTGCATAAAACTATTAACAAGAAGATTTTACCAAAAAAAAGTTTTCTGAATTATTAATGTAATTGTATTCTGTGTCTGGAGAAAAATGCTAGAGAACTAAAAGAATATGTTTCTTTAATCTTGAAATAAGTACAAAATAAAGGAAGAAAAATTCTATAAAAGTTATAAGTGGATCACTTGAAAATTATAAATAGATCACTTGAAATTATGGTTTGTTTCAGGGCTTTATCACAGCTACTCACCAGATGTTCAATTAAATACTCTTAAGCAAATATTTTTAATCAATATTTGTTTTTAGCAAAAGCCAAAGCGAAACAGGCAATTAAATCTGACCTCAGCAGTTCAAGCAAAAATGGTGACTCTGCCAAAACCAATAGTTACTCTGCGTTTACAGTCATGCAGATGAGATTAAAAATATGGGCTAAGAACTGAGCTGTGGTAATGGGCATTAAGACAAAAATGTTCTAATATACTGAATTCATACAATTTCACTGTAGTTACTTTTCTCTATCTGAAAATACCTGGTCCTTCCGTATTTTTGTATCTATCCTGAATAAAGCTATCTACATTTAAAACCATCTGTTACTTTTCTGCGAAATCATTCAGTTACATCCATTATCTTATCTATGCAAAGTAATTGAAAATCTTACCTTAGCTGAACAAGGCTTGACATCACTTATGACAGTCTCTCCTAAACCAAATAAAAATATATTAAGACACATCAGTGAAGTTACCCTAAGGCAGCTCATCTTTTACTTGAAGAAATGCTAACGTTTTGACGGGTTTCAAATTTCGGCAGAAAGGATTGTACACTGTGAAGCCCTGAGCTAACTGTTTGGGAATGTCTACAGCACAAAGGGCAGCCAGCACACTACTCTTGTAATGCCTGGGTTTAATAAACCACATTTCAACCGCACAGTAGATTTTGTATACTACTGCTTGTATCCTGGTTGCAATTACTGCTTATCACCTTTACATGACACATAAAAACATATACTTTCATTGTCACAAAACTGGGACAGATTTTCCTACATGCTATTTTTGAGTACTGGTATATATTTGCTATTGAATAGTCTGAACTACTGAAGAGAACAAGTATTAATCGACATTTTTATCTTTTTACAAAGGTATTTATCATTAAAATGAAGGCATTTACATTGGTGTGATGGCCGTGCACGAGGGCTGGCTACGGAGGCAATTTTAGAATATGTCCTAAAAGCAGATTCTGAATAGAAAACTGAAAAATATTACTTTAAAATAATAATCTGTGTTACACTGAAGATTGTTTACCAGGAGGAAATAGCACTCTTTTGGTCTCACTGGTAGTCCACTCTTCGTAACAGAAGGGTTGAGAGTGGGACAATCATTCAAATACAATGTCAATCTCAAAATGGTCTGACAGTAGTCTGACAAATGTCTGAAAAAAGTCAAAGTACTAGAGAGTGTCCTGAAGAAGAGGATTAGGTGTAGTCCACAGAAACTTAATTAAAGCTATATAGCAGGCACTTACAATTTAACACACTCAAATATGCTATTTTTGTCTCTTAAAAACTGTATCTGGCATTTTAACCAAAAAGTAAATTACTTGGAAAGTTCATAAAAGTCCAACAGACTTTCAGCCTCTCCTGCACATTAGAGAATTTAAATTGTGGTCTGGTTGAATAAAGGAAACCTCAGCTTCTACTGTACCACTGGGAGATACACTGTCTAAAGGATGATCAGAGTACGCTGTTCAACATCACCTTACACTGCTACAGCCAGCCAATGCTCCAAATTTGTCTCGATACTGTGGTTCACCTCCATCCTGTCTGAAGCTGGAATACTCTAGAAATAGCTGTACCTGGCCACTTCTTGAGAGCACATTCAACTGCCTGTGAAATTTTTAACAACTTTGGTTCTTCAGTATCTCTCAAAATAATTTTTAAATTTTTTTTCTAAAGTTCTGCATGGCACATCATAGTTTTCCAATATATTTAACTAGATGGTCTCTTAAAAAGAGGCAGGTTGTAATCCATAAATACAGTCTCGGGGCAAAAAGAATTTGAAGGTCAAAAAAAATTCGTAGCTATCCATATATAATAATAAGGGAGAACTAACAGGTTTTATTCCTCTTCTTATCCACAGAAACAGGAAGAGAAGACAAATTTCAGGAAGAAATTGTTAAAATGGTCAGAACCTTGACTGAAATCCTTCTCCCATGCAGTCGCTTACACAGTTAAGCTGAAGCTTGGAGGGCTAAAAGGCATTAGCAGATTAATCCCCACTGGAACAAGAAGAGAAGAAAAATGTGTTTCAACAGCAGCATAGCTATGCTCCAGCCTTGAAATAAGATTTCCAATAAATTCAGAATCTATGGCACAAAGATTTAAGAGCTGATCTTTATCTTTCATTGGAATATCAGTCTCTAGCCCGCAGTAAATTAATGAAACTTCTTCCAAACCTGCTGCCAGAGTGCAACCTTCCATTTTGTAACCAGCTGAGATCAGGCTGGTTGCTGTCCCAGAATAATCACACGGTTCTGAAATACATGAGGCTCAGCTAGGTGCAGTCTGAAAGATGTGAAGTTACTCACTAGAGAAACACCTAATAACCCTAAAGGAGGGCTATGAAGAACTAAGAAAAACGTAAGAAGAGGAAAGACAGAACGATATAGAAACACTATTCTAAATTTCAGAGGGTATCTAAGGTGAAGCTGCGAGTTGTGCTGCATATGATTAAAATTTGCAGTAAGTCTAAAGCTCAAATTCTGCCAGCGTGAGTTGACCATGAACTTGAATCTTCCCAGGTGTGACACTGGCTCAAATTCTGCAGTTTTTTCCCAGCTGTGCTTCAGCCTTGTTTGGGTGACTCAGTTCTCCACACTGATAAAGTCTTCTACCGCATCCTAAGTGAAACACTGCATTTTACCAGGCAAACAGATTGTAAAAGTGTATGTGGGTTGAAAAGCACATGGCAGTAAAGTGACAACCAGTCTTCTACCTGCAGCACACAAGAGCTCAGCAGAGGTGGTGACTTTGGGGCTGGTATTCTGACTTAGAGGTGGACGACTTCCATTTTAGGGTCATCTTCTTAGCTGTGGTAACTGGGATATTATAAATATTAAGCACGTTTGGCAACCTGTGCATCAGTGGTCTTGACTGTGAAATGGTAATAGTAACATCTATTTCACAAGCCATGCTACAAATACGTGGGGGGTTCTGTGGAGAAAGGTATTTTACAAATGCAGAGTACTATTTTTGCCCTCCTAGTCAAAGACATAGAACAGCTGTGCACTGAAAAAGAGAAGAATTGGTTTAAACTCAAATACAACAGCCAAGAAACGTCTTGCCAGGAAATCACCAAGGCATTTAGCTTTCTGCTGACAACTCATCTGAGGCATGGCGATAGCCCAAGACAACACACCCTGCTTTGCCTGAAAAGAATGGTTTTCAGTCTTAGGAACAAATTACCCTTTTTTTTTCTTATTTTGTGTAACTTTATTGACATTCTAATGTACTTTTTATATTTTTGTATAAAATTTTATACAATTTTATGTATTTCACATTTTAATTTTTTGCATTGTGATTTCTACACCCTGTGGTTAAAAAAATATGTTTATCTTGTTAGCTCCAAGTCTTTACTGTCAACAGATTTAACAGACAGAGCTCTGCAAACCCACGAACAGCAAACAGGCTCAGGGAGGTGTTTTGCTTGCTCTGCGAAACTAATGAGAAACGCGTTTGTTCGGATACCTGGGTTGTTTTATTTTTTAAGAAGCACACTATCATTTTAAAAAGCGCAGCGAGGATGGAAGGGCTGGTGAGAGCCAAGCACTGTGCGTTGGCACGGAGTCCGGCAGCGGTGTCCCTGAAGAAGAGAACAGACACGGAAGGTGCCCGGAAGCGAAGCGAAGTGCCTATAACCGGTGCTCACAGCTGGCTTCTACCCTCGGCCGGGGACCTCCGGCGACCGCCGGAGCCCATCTCAGTCTCCTGCGAGAGCGACCCCTACCGGGCCTCTCCGCCCTAGTCCCTCGCG